GGAGGAGGTGAAGGGGTGCAGGTGGGGGAGGAGGTGAAGGGGTGCAGGTGGGGGAGGAGGTGAAGGGGTGCAGGTGGGGGGGGGGGGGAGGGGGGGCGGCGGGGGGGGGGGAAGAGCCGCTCTGTGGTTGCTGTGGGGCCCAAGGTAGAGGCTTCATCACTGGGACCACGCTGAGGTCCCAGGAGCCCAGGGGAAGGTGTTAGGCCAACAGTGCAGGCCCGGCTGTCCGACCCCTCCATCTGCTGACGTCTGCTCGGTCCAGGGGTCAGGGCCCATGCAGAGGGCAGGTGGGCTCTCCAGACCTCTGGGGTCCCTCCTCAGCTCCCTGGTCTGTGCAGACTTCGTGCAGACGGGACGTGGTCCCCAAATCTGGACAGCTCTGCACAGGACAGAGCACTCCCGTGACTAGGCATTCACGTGGTGCCGTCTGGGCCCAAGAGTCCAGTCAGTGTCCGCCCCCTCCCCGCACACTCACCTGCGGAGGCTGAGGACACAGCCCGTGGAGGAGTGAGTGTGGATAGATCAGACCCCACGTGTGTCCCCGACTGGACACTCAGGTCCCACCGACTCCGTGCATCCTGGGCTCCATGTGGGGTTCGGCAGCCCGTCTCAGCCCTGCGGGCAGACCTGCTCCCCCCAACTTATGCTGTCCCCTTCTTACAGAGGCCCAGCCTGCCTGCACCCCACACACCGGGAATGTGGGTCCCTAACCTCTGCTAGTCTCTGCTCAGTGACAGGCTGCCTCAGGAGATGAAGAGTGGTGTGCTGCTCAGCCGAGTTGGCCCGGACCCCTGGGTCACCCCCATAGAGCAGGGGCCCCCGGACATGGGAGCAGAGGGGCCAAACCCTAGGAGTCTCTGTGGGGTGTGGCCTCGTGGTCAAGGACATTCCCAGGAGGGGCGGGGGCCTGGTGGGGGCTGCATCCTGTCCTTTCCTGCGTCTCCGAGTAGGGGGCCTCGGGGCCTCTGGGGACCAGGGAGCCACATGGAGCCTGCGTCTCCTCACCCCCGCCCCAGGCACCCGTCTGGCAGCCTGCAGGGACCAGCTCTCGGTGGCCCCAGCCGAGGATTTCCACATTTGCTGCCCCTGCGGCCCCAGGCTTGTGACCGAGGGGTCTGCTGGGAGACTGTGGAGGTGCTCTGGGCAGCAGGGTACGAGCTCTGGCCGGAGTCCTCAGCCGAGCAGCTCCAGAGGTGCACCGGGGTGTCTGGTGGGCTGTCCTCGCTAAGGAATGGGAACCAGCTCTGCCGTGTGGTTCCCTGGGGACGGTCCAGGCAGCCCAGCCAGCCTCGGGCGTGTGGTGCCGCCACCAGCCGACCCCAAGGGCCAGCCCAGAGCCTGTGGCTGCGTCGGGAGCGTCGGTGGCCCAGGGCTCACTTGGCAGAGCAGACGTGCCCCGCACACCAGCCCGGTGAGGGAAGGGAGAGTGGCCAGATCCCCTGCAGGCGTCCGCGGGCAGAGCAGATGGGCTAACGCTGCAGGCAGGGGGGAGGCCACAGGAGCTCCTGTGAGGCCCCGCAGGGTCTCCCCACTCCCTTTCCTGGGCACGTTCTCCAGGCCTTGAGCATCGGCCTTGGGAAACCCTGTGCATCCCGGAGACATGAGCTCACCCGGGAGCAGAGGAACCTCAGAGCCATGTCCTTTGGGGAAGGTTCCAGAAGGGCTGGGAAGGAGGCAGGCAGTGGCACATCCACGGTGGCTCACCTTTCCAGGAAGCACCACAGGCTCCCACAGCCTTGGTGCCGGCCTGCATGTTGACCCACTGGGGACAGGTGATGGCGACTCTTCCTCCCATCACCTTTCTCTCCTTCCTCCAGGCCTCCGCGTGCAGGCATTTGCACACGTGTGCGGACATGCAGTCAGAGCTCACGCATGTGTGCACAGATGGCCTGCACACGCACTCTCAGGTGAAACTCAGGCTCCCCACAGGTGGTGGGAGATGGCTCATTCCAAGGACAGGTGCTCCGGACAGGCCCCAAGACCCTGTGTGCAGCAGGCACGGGCAGCCCAGCACCGAGGCAGGGGGATGGGGTCCTGGTAGCCCCCGTGGGGCACTGGCATCACTCGTGTGAGCACCAGGAAGGGAGCCCATCTGGTTGCTCTTCCCGTCCTGGGTGAGGCTTGGCCCCTGGCTCCTGGGCACAGCGGGCTCCCTAATGCGGAGCACGGGGTTGCCTGGGACCCCGGCGTCTCTGTCTCAGCTCCCGGCAGGGGAAGCGGTCTGGTGAGCTGGCCGTGGTGGCCCGAGCCCACAAGGTCAGGACCCGGCCACCTTGAGTTGCGGCAGCCACGGGGGCCCCTCCCAGGGGGCAGGCCCGGGCCCTTGCCCGGATGGGCTTGCTGGTCAGCTTGGAGCACGCGGCGGGGGGCCCATGCCCTCGTCCCTGAGGGGGAAATAGCGGGGTCCCGAGGGATGGGCCGGAGGACACCGGGAGGCCTCGAGGAGCCTGTTAAAAACTGGTTTTGTCTGGCCTTGTGAGGACGGCGGTGTGGGGCGGGGACGGGCGTGTCCTGGGCCGTGGGGTCTCGGGCCACGGTTTTTCCGAGTGGCAGCCACGGCAGAAGGGCCTTTGCCTCATGGGAGCCACAGATGCAGGCCGGCCAGGCCGGTGGAGGGGCGCCCTCTCTCTGTTTGCGGGCGGTCGCCATGGCGGCGCGGGCGGCGCCGGCCGGGCCCTGCGGGCTCTGTTTGGGGCCGGTCGCCATGGCGGCCCTTGTTTGTTTTGATGTTACCATGTGGTGGATTTCAAACGAGTTTCTCGCAGCTCCGCGTGGTCCTGACGGAACACTATTGTCACTATTACCGAGACAAAGGCTTCTGCGCCCGCCCGGCCAGAGCCACAGCCGGTCCGTCTGAGATACTAATTAGCCCAGCCTCGGCGTGCACAGCGGGAACGTCCCCGACAGACGGGTCCCCACCCGATGTCCCCCCTTCCATCCTGCCTGTGTGCTCGCAGCCAGGCACAGGTGGAGAGGCCTGGCCCAAGGGGACAGGGCGTGGTGGGCGTCCCTGCTGCAGCCTCTCCTGGCCACACACACGCCTGTTTGCTGGGTGCTGTGGGTTCATGGAGGGACACAGAGCCGGCGCCTGAACCGGTTAGGGAGAAGGAGGCTGGGGTGGGTTCCCTGGGGCCTGTCTGCCACCGACGTGCTCCCTTCTTGCCACCCACCCCATGCCCCTGCCAGGACACGGTGGGAACCGTCTCAGGCAGGGAGCTGGGACAGCAGACCTGAGCCTTGGGCCTAGAGCACAGACGCCGTCCCCCGCCGTCCAGCACCTGCAGGAGAGGTCCCCCCAGGACAGCACGATGGTGGGGTGGGGGTGCCCACAGGAGGGCAGGCGAGAGCTGGCAGAGCAGTTGTGTCATGATGTCTGAGACGATGGCCAGGGACAGAGCTAACCCTCACCCACGCCGCGTCTGCTCAGGGCCTCCGCCACATTGGGCCTTTCCTGCCCTGGGCTCCTCCTGACAGGCTAGGGGGCATTCAGGGTCAGCGGGGAGGTCAGAGCAGCCGTGTGGTCCAGTCCTCCTCTGTGGGGCCCTCTCGTGGCCCCAGGGGCAGTACGAGCCCCTGCAGTGGGTGGCCTGGCGCGTCTGTGGTCGAGGGTCAAGGCCACAGAGAACAGGAATCAGGGAGTTCCTGGCCCACAGCTCCCTCTCCAGGTTGATGAGGGTGCTGGGTCCCAGTGCATGACGGCCTTCTAAGAGGATGACCTTCCCCAAACACCAGAAATGGCTTCGGTGACCTCGGTGCAGCTGTCCCCTCAGCCCCCTGCCCCCCCCCTGCCCCGCCACAGCCAGGATGGCAGTTAGGAGTGGGTGGGGTGGGGGAGCCGCCCTCCCAGGGCAAGCCCAGCCCCAGGCACCCGCACGAAGAAAGCACAAAGTTCGGGGGACGCTAGGGTGGTTTTGCCTACCTGGGGAGAGGGAACGCAGAGTTGGGGCCACAGCTGCCCCTTTAGGCAGGTTCAGGGCCTGCACATGCCCCTACAGACCCCCAGCATCATGGTTGTCAGTGGCAGGGGGAGCCCTGGGCCAGAGCGAGGGAACCACTGTGTGCCAGGAGGGTCTGACTGCCATCGGTGGTCCCCCTGGAGCACCCGGCCTGGGAGCTGCTCCAGGCCACCTGCACAGCGAAGCTCCCCCGGCTCCCCCCACCCCTGCTGGGAGCATCTCAGAGGACCCTTCTTCCCACGGATTTCATCAGGGCCTGGAGTGGATTCCCACTGGCATCCAGGCCCGCCAGGTGGCTGTCTGGACGGGTCAGCCAGGGCCCTGGCTTTGCTGCTCGGGGGGGCAAGGAGAGCCAGCAGCTTTCTCCCAACCCTGAGTGGCCCGCTGCCTGTGATGACCCAGCCGCCGATCAGAGAGGTGCCCCCGGGAGGGCCCTCGATCCCAGTTTGCAGAGGTGCTGGTGAGGAGGTGGTGGTCCAAAGCCCGGGAGCCTTCCCGGTGTTGGCCCGGGTGGCCTGCACATGCATCTATCTTTGGAGGACTGCACTGGTCCCCTGCCTGGCTCCCTGATGCCCTTGGTGTTCCTGGGTAACCTCTGGTACTGGCAGGGTCCAGCCCCCTGCCCACCGGAGTTAGGTCTGGAGGCCTGGGGGACACAGGGCTGGGGAAGCCAAGTGAACCCCAGCTCACAGGGCCTTGTTATGACCAGTGACCCCATTACTCCTAGGCTGGCTTTCCAGCAGGGTGCTGGCCGGCCGGGCTGGAGCCGGGGGGAGGGGGTTCATTGTGGGGACACCCTCTAGCTCTGTGAGCTCCGGAGGACAGGATCACTCTGTGTCCAGAGAACGTGTGATGTGATCAGTGTCTCTGGGGAAGAGACAAGCATTGTCATTCTAGAGCTTGCTGGGGACAGCGCTCTGCAGCAGGGCACTGGGGCCCCTGGGGAGAACTCCCTGTGGGGCAGCCACGGTGGGGACACTTGGGGACACCCAGCCCAGCCAGGTGGAGTGGCAAGACAGCCGTAGGCCTGCGAGTCCACCAGCTCTGAATGTGGCCTCTGACGGGAGCCCCCGTGAGCCATGCCCCCGCCCCCGGCCCCGGTGACTCACACTGGTGGCGCCTGGTGCCGCGGGGCCCAGAGAGGGCTGCGTGCTCCGGCGGCCAGGCCCCCACATGCGACCCGGGCAGGGCGTGAATGGGAGAGGGAGTGCCTTGGATGGCCCAGGACAAACAAACAGGGCCTCAGCCAGGGCACGCGGGGTTCTCTGTGCGGGGCAGCAGCTCTGGGGACCGTGCGGCCCGGGCCAGTTTGCTCAGAGGCTGACTGCTCCGGGAGCAGAACCCACCGCCCACTGCTGGACTTGAGGAAGCCCCGCGTCCACCAGGTCCCCAGACCCTGCTGTGAGGTCACAGCCAGGGCTGTGCCCTTCCAGACTGTGGGTCACCAGTCAGCACATCCCGTGTTATGGGCCCGCGAGCCCCCGTGCGTGCCTTCGGACCCCAGCTATGTAGTTCGCCTGGGTCTCCGGGTGGCTTCTCCCACATAGGGCCCAGGTGTGGGGCATGGGGGCCGGGACTGCAGAACCCCAGCAGCGGTGTCCGAGCGCCTGGTGGCCCGCAGCCTCCCGCTGTCAGTGCTTTGGTCCTGGCGGCCGGCCGGCGGGCGTTCGGGGGGCCTCACGGCAGCTCTCCCCGACAGCCGGCTCGCA